ATATATATATATATATATATATATATCTTTATCTGTGGAATTTTTTGTTGGCAGGGAAGAGGAAAGTCAAAAATTTTATGAACTTCAGGAAAGCTTGAACTATATGCATTGAAATAGTGTGTATTTTGCTTGTTGGGGATCAAAAGCTCTTAATGTAGAATTTAGTTACTGATCTGTCTGGCTTGGGTCACTGTAACAGTGCTGCTTTCTGACCACCCAACTTTAAAATGAAAATGTATATAGGTAGTGGCCAGAAAAAAATTCTCGTAGAAGTTATGGACCTAGACAATCTTATAAGTCAGCTTGCCTTTATTTCATTAGTCATTATATTTTATATTTATGTATCTCTTCTCTAGCCAGTTGTCTAGCCAATTTTGGAAAATACATTTATTAGACAAATATCAGTGAAACCGTATTTCTGATGAATTTATATTTAATAGAATACTCTGTAAGAAATGTCTGCAAGGACAACAGTTTAGTGGTTACCAGAGGTAGGAAAGGGAGGAGAGAAAATGGTACAAGAGGAAAAAGGGAGTCAAATATATGGTGATGGAAGGAGAACTGACTGGGTTGTGAACACATAATGCCAAAAAAAATTTTTTTTAATTTAAAAATCTAAAAAAAAAAAAGATAAGTCTGTAAGGTCAAGAATGAAGTAGGTAGAGATTGATTCAGAAACTTGAGTAGAAATGTTTAGAGGAGCTAGAACTCTTCTCACTCAATTTTATTATTTATGAGTGTAGTCCATTCAGCTGTCTATGAATTGTCCCCTTTGGTTTATGTGGCATGTTTTTAGTACCAAGTTGGCTTCCTTACTATTAGTTGAGCTTCTTAGAGGAATTACAAACTAATTTTAATATCTCCAGAACATAATTAGATGAAAGCAGAAAATGATTGTATTGTCTAAAAAGATAAATATGTATTAGATTGTCTGATACTGGATTTTGCCATGCTAGTATTTTTCTTCCTTGGTATAGAATGCATTTTGTAAATGCAAAATGTAACTTTTCCCCCTGCATCTATTTCTCTAAATGGAAATGACTTATTAAATTCCTTTCTTTTTTTAATGATTAAATAGAGGGACTTTGAAACAAGTGGCCTTTGCTGTGCCATTATTGGTAGTATCATCTCTGCAGAAAAGGTATTAATACAATTTTAGGACCAAAAAGAAGTGTTGGGCCTGTCAGGAAGAATGAAGAGTATACTACAGCTATACCATGGTCACCCCAATAATGATATTCAGTATATACAGTATATCTGTGATATTAAAATTTTATGGGAGGTAATTAGGGGGAAATATGTCTAAATATAACTTCTTGGAGGGAAGGGGAGGGTGATAATGAAAAAAATGGTTGAGAAACCTTGTTTAAAAAAG